GTATATATATATGTATATATATATATGTATATATAATATATATACATATATATATATGTATATATATATGTATGTATATATACACACACATACATACTGTATATGTACATGAAGGTAGCATAATGAAGTCTTCTAAATGCTGTTTGAAGAAGGGGTAGGCAGGATGGACGCTAAAGGAGTATAATAGAGGGGAGGAAGGGGGTGAATCTGATCAAAGTACATTGTGCACGTCTATGGAAATACCACAGTGAAACCCCTGTGTACAATTAATGTATGCTAATGAAAATTTTAAAAGCACTTTATTTGGAAGATAATCCACATAACTATTTAAAATTAAATTATTTCATAATATATGTGCTTTAAAAACTCTAACTTTTAAGACAATTAAAAACAGAGTGGGCACGCTTTCAAATACTAACTGCACCATTGAATAGCTGGATCGCCTTGGGCCAGGAGCTTAGCTTCTTGATGTTCAGATTCCTTGCCTGTAGAATGAGGAGACTGATCGTGACTACGTCATAGAGCACGTAGAGTATGGATTAAATAAGAAAATGTACTTAAAGAATTTTGCACAGGGCCTGGTACATAGGAAGAGCTCAAGAATTTTTTTATCATTATACTTGTTAAAGTCTGAACTTGTTTAGCGTTTTTCTTCACTATGATCAAATTTCATTGTGAGTTGAGAGCTCTTAAAAAATAGGATGGTGTTAATCATTTCACAGTGCATATGTATGTGAAAACATCACACTGTACACCTTAAATATATATAATTTTTATTTGTCAGTTTTATCGCAATAAAACTGCAAAAATAATGATTTTTTTTTAAGAAAGGGGAACTAGAAAGAGGTACTTTAAACATATAGCACGATCATGTATGCAAAACATAAAGGCTGTATTAAGCATGTACTTATTTATTAAACTTGGAAATTTGTTTTTCCTCCCTGACCAAGAAGATTATTAAAAACTAAAGCAAGTATTTTTGTGGGTTACTTGCTGTTTTTAAGTGTTCTGCACTCATTTTTGCAAGCCTTCCTCTAAATGGACTTGAAACAAGTGGCCCAAAACTATTGTGGTTCCTCCTGGCCCAACATGTTCCTTCCAAAGTGAAAATTGAATGAATATCCAATTTCTCTTCATCTGTGACTTCGTCTCTCTGGCCCTAGGAGTGGAAAATAACCTGATCACTTTTAATCAGTTTATTAAATACTAGACAGCTTGCTGGTTTACTTTTAATCACTGCATATCTGCAGATATGTAAGCATACGTCTGATGTTTCTTATGAAAATTGCTCATTTTTATTCTTGCTATTTTTTAATAAGGCAAACAAGAATAGGAAAGAAGGCAGACTTTATCCACCAGTAGTATGATAAAGAATTGCAGGTGTGTGGTAAACCATAGGCAGGTGAATTCCCTTTAGCTGTTTTAAATTGGAGTTTGTCATATCTCAATAGGAAGCATCCTTTAGATGCTCACAAAGTTGTATTCCCTTATGGATTAGTTTTTCTCCTTTACCTATTGTCCTCATAGGGTTGTATACTATCATTTCTCAAGAGTAGAGGTTAATGACAGTCAACTGGGCCTGTTGTAAAGACTTAGTAGTGGAGGTAGCCACAGGTGTTATTTTTTCAATGTTTTTACAAAGAAAATCATAGGATATTGGCTAGTTACTGTTTTTCCTAAAACTGTTTTGTTCATATGAAAGAAGGCATAGTTGGGAAGCAGAAAACATACTAAAAATATCCATATTGACCATTTTTTAGTATGAACAGTTGGCAAACTACTCCCTCTCTCAAATATGGAGCCAAGTTAAGAAATTTTAGAAAACATGACCCTAGGTTCAACTGCACTTACCTTTTGAGATCTCACCATTACAACAGCATCTTTAATAGTGAGGACCATGGTCTGCTCCACTACCCCATCCCACCCTGACCCCCTGAATCCAAGAAGGGGAACCAGGTGCCTTCTTCATGCTCCCAGAAGTGGCACCAGCAGCCATATCTCAATAGCAATCTCAGATAGTACCTTCCCCTCCCGCTCTTACATGCTTCTTGTCTTGTTCCCCAGGTTGAATATGTGATCAAGTGTGATATGTCAGCTCTGCAGAAGATTTTGTACCGCCATATGCAAGCCAAGGGGATCCTGCTCACAGATGGTTCTGAGAAAGATAAGAAGGTATGTTGCAGAAGCCAGTAGGATTCAATACATCTTCTCAGAATGCAGCATGAATATTTCCAGAAAGCATCCCTACTAAAGCTGGTTTGTTAAAGTAAGGCACTGGGTATTTTTTGTAGTAGCTGCCAAAGGAAATCACTTAACCTCTTACCTGCAGTGGGGCCAAAGGAAAGACAGCATATGCTCCTGTTTATGTTCCTATTACCAAAAGAGTTAGCTCTGCTTGTAGCTCTGTGCTGTAGAAAACACATTCTGACCAAGTGTTGGATGGCATTTTAGAAAGTTTTAAAATCTAGCGTCACTCCCTGGGCATCTGTACTGTACTTTGTCTGCCAGAGTCCTTGAGAGCAGAGAGTCATGACACAAAGCCACCAACTTGACATAATTCCTTGAGGTTCACTTTTCCTGTAGGATAAGTTAATAATAAAATATTATGTCTAACTCAGAAACAACCAAAACTACGGGAGCTTTTGACCACAAGGTATGTAGCTTATTGAGAAAACCTGTAGCACTTTATTCTTTCTATAAAAAACCTAGTTTTTCCATTATCCAAATATCTTTATTTGACCATAAAGAAGAATAAAATTTTGCCATTCACAGTTAAATGGCTTGAACTGGAGAACATCATCTAAAGTGAAGTTAGCCAGGTTCAGAAAATCAAAGTCCACATGTTTTTTTCTCATATGCAGAAGATAAATCCAAAACAAATACAAGCATTATCATATATACATATAAGTCTATACACAGAGCATGTTTGCAAAAGTGGGACTATTACAGGAGACTAAGGGAGGAGGAAAAGAAGTATAGAATGATAGAAAATGAATAATAGTAAATACATCACATCTGTGTAGGAGCAAGACACAGTGAAACGGACTGAAAGCTGTTGAACAACACAGGATGGGGAGAAGGGTGAGGAAGAATAGTGGAGGGGGATATATGTATCTAAGCACAATATATTTACAGGTAAAATACTAAGGCAAAATTCCCACTGAACAATGAATAGACACCTAAAAAGCCTAGTATTTTTCTTTTTTTTCAGTTCTGAGGATTGAACTCTGGGCTTTACACATGCTGGGTAAACACACTACCCTGGAGCTACACTCTTGGCCTTAAAGTCTAGTTTTTAAAAATTGTAAATATCTGACCAATTAATAATTGATTCTATTTTTCTCTTTCTACTTATTCTCAGGGGAAAGGAGGTGCAAAGACTCTTATGAACACTATCATGCAGTTGAGGAAAATCTGCAATCATCCCTATATGTTTCAGCACATTGAGGTAAGTCTGTATCCTGTGTATTGATTCTGATTCTCCTAACCCTACTGATCCTAGTTCAAAAAAGCAAAAAACAAAACCCACAATAGGTCTGAAGCATGGATGAGGAAGTGCAAATGGCATGATGTGATAGCTGTTCAGGCAGAATTAACAAACCCAGATTTCCTGGGTATGGCTTCTCATTGGCACCAAGTGACTGAGCATCTGGAATTTAATAACCAAGAATTTAAAGTCGTGAGAAAATGTTGCAAGCAATGGCTCATTATGTGAGTTTGGGTAAGTACTGTGAATTACCTTGTTACACTGGGAGCTCTGAAATTGACGATAATGACAAACACATTCAGCTTCCTCAGAAGGCTGCTGTGAAAAATATTAAAATAATGTATTTATAAATATTGAAGAGGAAGATGTTCTTTAAATATTTTCTTTGTGAAAGACACTGGCTTATTCTGTTACTTAGGTTTACATTTTTCCTGTCTTGTTTCTATCACAGTGTTATCAGTGGGTGCTTTTATTCTGAAGCTCTGGTCTCTAGAATGCTGCTTTTAGCAGAAAGGACATTTTCTGCCTTCTCACTCCATGTGAATACGTTTCATTCACTGACAGGTTTTCACTCCAATAAGGGCAGTTGGCTAGAATAGGAATGAAAAGTTGTTGCCACTGTCATCTGCATTTTCAGTGTCACTATGGAAGTATGGGGTCCTAGGGACAATTATTTGCAAGTACCCAGTCTGCTTCCTACTGCAAATTGAGGAGGAGATAGCAGAGAAAAACATCACTGCAGTGTCAGCACCAATTGAGTTTAAAATAATAAATAGAAGATTCTGGAAAATTAAAACTTAATCACAGAAAAAAATTGAGTCAAAACATTCTTAACTTCAAGTATTCTTTTTTCTCTTCCTTAATTTTGAGCAATCCTATCTGTCATGTCAGAGTACTTATTCCCTAATATAAGGATACTAGAGTCCTGCCTCAACAGTGCTGGGGAAATAGAAAGACTTCTGATGCTGCTGTGACCTTCACGTTCATAGGAGAAGGTATCATAAAGTAGGAGAGAGGCTAGATAGACATAGGGAAGAAGATCCACAGACATAGGACAGAGCATCTTTGGACGTGGAACAAAGTATCCATAGACATGAGGGGAGCATCTGTGGATATAGGAGTATTATCTATAGCCATAGAGAACCACCCCACAGAGTTGAGACATTACTCTTGTGAAGAGAGAGAATATATTTATAGACCTAAATGAAATGACAACAGCAACAATTCTGAAAAAATTCCTACCAACAAGCCACAGTTATGTTAGATACATAGGTGAAGGAGAATCCCGGGATCAATAATGAGTCCGTGTCAGTGTGATCTGGGGTATGAGGGGGGCAGCTGGGAAAAAAATCTAACGATACAAATGATTGGGGTTGTGTCACATCAACCTGTCACCTACCTTTCCATTTTTCCTGACAACAATTTTAAGATGTTACTCTGAACTATAGAGAGCTTCGGGAACTTGGAAATTATGAAAATTGCATGTCGGTCTTATTTCATTTTGGTTATCCTAAAAACATTAACCTTTGAGGCATGCTGGGCATGTCAGGAAGTAAGGGAGATGATGTCTTCTCTCCACAAGTGTCTGCCTGGTGCTCTGCAAGGGAAGAAGGATTGAAAAGGAAGCTAAGCTTAAGGAACATGCCTTGCAGCACCTGTCTGTTTACACTTGAGAAAGAAGCCATCAAGAGAAAGACAGACTTTGATTTGCAGTGTGTTTAACAAAAAAAGCTTTTAGGAGCCTATTTCTAGAAGCTAGAGACCCACAGTTATTGGCTAATCTTTGGCAGTTATGGGTCCCAGATGCTGTGTGCTTTTGCCTTCATTCTGTTTTGTTTGCCACACAACCCTTTGTTGGTACCAAATCATTCAGAAGCCCAGTCTTGATATTGGTCTCACTGCCTTCAACTGGGGAAATGAAAACTGATACCTAATCTTAATCATGGTTCATGGACATATGTCATCACTTTGGTTTTCCAAGCCCTGCTTGGATACGGAGATGGAACCTAAAAATCTAGTAAGTAACGGTCACTAGTAAAGTGTGTAAGTATGATTCTATCAGGTGGAGCAAGGCTTTGATCATTGTCTGGCCATGTTACAGAGCAGTGCTTTCAGGGGCTAGATCCTGCCATGAATGGTGAGAGAAAGATCTGGTCTCCTTGTGGAAAAAGTTGCAGTGGTGAAGAGAGGAGGGGCACAGAAAAGGGACAGCTGGTGGCTAAAGTGAAGGTATAACTTGCTCTTCACTCCTTAGATGGTATCCATTTCCATAAAATGACAATGGAGAAAACTCACAGAAGACAATCAAGTATTTCTTCCTCTGTATTAGTAAGGAGGGAGTTAAATGATTAAGTTCTGTATTCTAAAAGTAGGAGCTGGACACTGAGGGTAGAGTACATTTAGGGATTATAGTAAGGATGGGATGTCAGGATTTGATTAAGCTAACAATTGCATTATGTAATTACCATTGTTTTTATTTTGCAAACTATTTCCTTATTACATTTGTGTTCACATGTTACTCTGACTTGCTTATATTGAGTTCTTCCTCTAGCCTAGACGCTGAACTTGTGGGCGTATACCCAGAAACCACTCCTGGCTCAGCTCTGGGCCTCTGGGTGCTCAGGGGCTACTGGACAAGTGAGCTCACCCCCTTGTCTGAAGAGTCAGAGACAGTGAAACCCACAGAATCCATTCCTGGTGGAAAAAAAACTGACCTCAGAGTCATGAGTTTTTGTTGCACTCTATAATGAGTACTTGCTTATTCATTTGTTATTTTATTTGTTCTAACTGTACTCTAGAAACAACAGGGTGCTCTCACTAAAAGAGAGACCATAAGTTAGTAATTGCATTTTAAAAATCACTTTGTTCTTCTCTTTTAAAGGAATCCTTTGCTGAACACCTAGGCTATTCAAATGGAGTCATTAATGGGTAAATCTTAAAATTTTCTTCTCTTTGAAAATACAGTGTATTTGTCTTTCCTAAACTCTTTTCTGTAGTGTTTCCTATCCTGCAAAGACACATGTCAGCCTCCCTAACCCTCCTTGCGAAGAGAGAGAAGTTTGTTAACTAAAACTATATTAGCATTCTCTTAATGTACTGGCATAGTTTACCACTTGCCTTGAGCAAGTGGCTATTCAAAGGACATTGATCTCACTTATTAGATGTAATAGTATCTTTGTGTTCTAAAATGTTGCTGAAACCTCAGAAGGTTGTGACTTCTAAACCAAGAATATAGTTCAGGCTTGAAGAGACTTTATCTTATTAAATTTTATGTGGCTATTTAGCATTCATGTGCATGAGAGGAAATGTCTCATCTGCTACAAATGTGTACATTCTACAGATATCTGTTAGAGGGTGGTCTGTGTAGGAAGGAACTGTCATTGAAGAGAATCATGTCCTGCAGCAACAAAAAGATGAAACTTAGCGCTGACAGAAAGTCCGTTCTGTTTGTTTCGCACTAGGGAAAATGTATTAGTAGGATAGAGGAGTCCTTGTTGGTTCCCAAGGGCAGGCAGGATCTCTAGGTAAGAATTGAAACTAGGCTCCAAGTAGGAGCCATGCCAACACCAATGAGCTCTCCTCCCTCTTTTGGCCTCAGTTTCCTCTGGGACTCATGGTCACTCCTGCTCCTAGCAGCATGGCCAGGGCTACAGGATGAAAACATAGCTACTGGGAAGTTTCTGGAGAGCTGTTCTCAAAGTGGTGATGGACAATGGGAAGACAAACATTTGAAAATGTCTCTGTTAGAAATAGAATATACAGTGTGGTTAAATCAGCTACCCAGTGGTACAGATTGTTGTTGGCTACATGTGTGCTGGCGAGTTTTCCAAAGACAGCCCCTTTAATAAAGAAAATGGGGGATTTACTGTGGAGGACAAAGGTCCAAATAAGCATTTCTCTGTATCATGGTATCTTCTCCATTACACCATCTTCATGTTTTTTACTTGGATAGCTGCAGTAAGCCAAGACTCTTGCCCCTCCCTCTTCCACTCTCACATCATTTGTGTAGTGACCTTGTGAAAGTATATGTCAGATCTTGCCACTCCTGTTTAAAACCCATTAATGGTTGGTTGTCCACTGCATTGAAATCTAGAACATTCAATGGACTTAATAGAGTACCTGTTTCCATTCCCACCTCCTCCGTCTGTCTTCAGATCCCAGTGTTCTTCCCTCACTTATGATTAAGCCACACTTGCTATTATATTTTTTTCAGTCTCTCAGACTCCCCAGGCTCCTTTACTCCTCAGGAAGGACCTTAGCACATGCTCTTTTCTTTCTCAGAAATCTCCTTCTCCCTATGTGCCCCATTTTTCACCCAGATGCTGTTCTACTCATTATTTCAAGTTTTAGCTTCAGGAAGATCACTGACCTCTGACACTTTACAACAGTAATTGGAAAAGTTTATCTGTAAAGAGCCATTTTGGAAATATTTTCAGCTTGTGGGCCATAAATTCTCTCACACCTACTCAAGTCATCTAGTACACCATCAAACCAGCCAAACGAGACAGAAATGGACATGGCTGCATTCCAATAAACCTTTACTTACAAAAAGAGCAAGAAGGCCAAGGCCAAAGTTTGTCAAACTCCACACTAATCAAAACAAGGGGTCAGATGTTGTATTGTAACTTGCTGCTTTTCTTTCTGTCTTTTTTTTTCTTCTTCTTCTTTTTTTGGTGGTACTGGTGTTTAAACTCATGGTCTAGTGCTTGCCTAGCAAACATTCTACCATGGAAGCCACACCTCTTGCCCTTTTGTTTTAGTTATTTTTCAGCTAGGCTCTCAACGCTTTTTGCAGGGGCTGGCTGGCCTAGGACCATGATCCTCCCAATCTGTTTCCTGAGTAGCTGCTGCTGCTTTTCCTTGTAGTACTTACCACCATTTGTAATTATCCATTTTATTTTTCACTATACACCTGCCCAGCCATGTACTTGGTACACAGTAGGTGCTCAATAAGTGTTTGAGTGAATTACAGGTGCCCTAAATTTACAATTTCATTTGTGTAATAGACAGACCATGAAAAATATTAGGAACATAGAAGGGTTTCCTTTGTGGATTTTTTATGAATATATTTTTTCCACTAAATACTCTCATAGCTTGGAGCTGAAATTCATCCATTCATCCATTCATTCCACACTTCCTTATTGAATGTGTGAGGCTCTATGTGAAAAGCGAAGTGCTATGGGATCCTTCAAGAAGACAGCCGTAATACTGTCTTCTTATTTTGCGTTTTTGGGTTCAGGGCTGAGCTGTATCGGGCTTCAGGAAAATTTGAGCTGCTTGATCGTATTCTGCCCAAATTGAGAGCAACTAACCACCGCGTGCTGCTTTTCTGCCAGATGACATCTCTCATGACCATCATGGAGGATTACTTTGCTTTTCGGAACTTCCTTTACCTGCGCCTTGATGGTAAGTGCATAAGGCATTAGGCTCAGAAGCCACGGTACTGAAAATGAAGAGACAGTGGCCCTTTAGTTAGGTCCAATCTCAGCCAAAAAGGAGGAGTAACATTGAGGAATTGGCTAACAGAGCAGGTGCAGGTTTTCTACCTGACGTTATTTGCACAGCTCTTCTTCCTACATACAAACCAACACAAGGAAGTTCAGAATCACACATGACTGCCACAATGGAGCAAAACAAAAAATTTTATATCCTCCTGCTATCAGGATTGACTGTTGCCTATGCTCCTGATAACATGTGTTGACAAGCCTTTAGCTTTTTGTGTGAAGGCATACTTTAAGGGATGAAGACTGTGTCTCCTTTCCTCAGTGGCAGTGTAATAGTTCATTTATAGTTGCATTTATCATTAAAGCCTCTCTCTTCTAAACAGGACATATCTACATGTTGTTACATTAAGAGACGTGACCTTATTGTTTCCTGGATTTTGCGACTATGTAAAGTATGTGCCTGACTTTTAAAAGTGAAATTTAAATACCTTATCCTAAACAGAAGTAAGCAAATATGATTGGAAGAAAATAGGGGTTTAGGGACATTTCCTAAATCACACTTAGGATTTGAATACTGGACAGTATATTTCAGAGATCTCATACCGGAGCAGAGAATAACGCATTAAGGAATGGTAAGAAGACTCGGAGCTCATTTACAGCCAGGATATAACGAGCACAGTCCTACTAATACCTGTCTGTATCTAATACAGTACTAATGTTTGTATTTAGTGAGTGAGAAATTTAAAGTTTATGTTCCATTAGAAGGTTTCATTTTATTCTTAATCCAACATTTTGAACCCCTTTTACCATTAACTAAGTATAATTAGAACTATCCCAAGTTTCTTACTTAAGTTTTTAGGTGAATGTTCTGTCTGGCTTACCTGTTAGGGTATTATTAATTTTTTAACCCTTGGTAATTTTTTAATTAGCATATTATAGTTGTAACATTGGTTATTATTAATGTTTTAAGCTAACTATACCATCTGACAGACTTGATGATTTAGAATTCTTTTACCTTTTCCCTCCAAAGTCACTGAAAACTGATGATTGGTTAAGTAAACATTAATTTGCATTCACAGGTATGGTCTTCTATCCATAGTCTATCTCTTTTGTCAAATCTCCTGTTCTTTCTGATGAGATCCCTCTCTTCCTCCTTCCCAGTGAGGGCAGAGTTCAACACTCTTCCTTCCTTTTTTAACTCTGCTCAGGTAGGGGAAGCCAGACTTAATTTTCCCCTGGTTTACTAATCCCATTCACATGTCCTACCTATTGTTGGCTACTTCCTGGCACTTCTTTTTGAATCTCACCTCTCTTAGGACTGCAGCCTGGGAATATTTGAATATATAAAACTGGTAAGAAGTGATTTTCTTGAAACAAATTACTGTAATGAAAGATTCTCTTTGATAGTGTGTTGGTTGCTATCCTCATTGTCATTAGAAATAATAGTCCCATGTGACGATGCATGTGGGATTCAGGCAAAGCACTTTGTATACATTATGTATATTTTGTATACATTATTAATTTTCTCAGCAAGTAATTTACTGTTATCCCTGATATTGTGATCTCTATTGAACAGATGAGAAAATAAAGAAATATAGTGAAACCAGGTTCTGGCTTGGGTCTATTTGATTTTAAATTATCTCAGTTTTAGCACACCCAGTGAGATGTACCCCATCTCTAAAATACAGTGTACATTTAGTGACAGCATTTTAACAAAGACTTTGAACTTGTTTAAAATTATTACATTGATTAATTGAAAATGACTAGGAACTAGAGATATAAGATAAATGGGCCACTCACTGTTCCTGCCTTTACAGCAGGAACCTTAGGTAGAAAGAGTCATGTAGTTTCCATAAAGTGTTACAGATGGACTGAGAAGGCTGGACAGGTGTCTTCCCACTAGAAAGTGGGAGGGGAGAGAATTGATAGACAAACAATAAATATACTCACAGATTAGGTACATCTCCCCACTCCCTCACACAATAAAATGTCTTCAGATTTTCATTATTGAATTTGATTTCTGAGATTTTGATTTCACAAAAAAAAGTCACCTGTTGAAAGCTAAGCAAATACTTTCTGCAACGATAATGATTGCATGAGTCAATTTAGCTACTATTCTGTTATTGTTTTTATTTTCACTGGAAATGACTCCATCTGGAAATGAACTGATACCCTCAAAGTACCTAGGTGCATAGTTTTTATATCCTAGTGTCAGAAAAGGGATGTCATTATATCTGGGGGCCCCATCATTTCCCCATTTTTTTTTTTTTTTGGTTTCTTTGGCTTTTCCTTCAAGTGAAGGCAGAGGATAAATACATGAGCTATGGATCCATGTGAGGAGTTTTTAAAAAGCATTATTTCAACTGGAAAGGCAAAATAGGGAGACAGTTTCATGGCAAAACAGAACATGTCTTCCATTAACTTTCTGAACAAATGGTATGCCATGAGCTCAGAAAACCAATTCTGAAAGTAAAAAAAAAAAAGATTTTCACATGTGAAACCTCACTCAATAAAGCACGTTAATATCCTTCCCCAAATCTAAATTCCTACAGTTCATTCTGGCAAGATTTGACATGTTCACCAAATAAAAAGTCTAGTTTAGAAAGTAAACCAAACCGAAGGAATGTCACTTCATGAAACAGGGAGAGGCTGCAAAACCCCCTCCTTTCCATTCCCCCTTTGTTATATGTAGGGAGCTGATTTTCTTCCCTCCTCGGGAGGATACTAGTTATTTTTACAAAATGTGAAAAACAGATCCCTTGTGTTTGGGAACTTGACCCTTGTCAGTAACTTGATTCCTTTAGCTGGAGTCACTTAAATGTTTTAATCCTCAGAAATAAATTGCTGGTATGTTTTTATCCTTAAAAAAAGAACAACACGTAGGAATAATATTTGTATAGCAGCCAGTCAGGGAGTATCGTGTAACATGCGTATATATTTGCCATCAGTCTAAAGCCCTTTTCAGAACTCAGCATCTACATTTTTGTAGTGAAATGCATTCAAATGGAATTCTGCTGAGTTTTTGGTTTTGCTTTTTCCCTTCCACAATGCATTTCATGCAAAGCTTGGGTAAATACATTACAGATGGATAGAACGTGATTGAGTGGCTAGTCTGGCACACAGGTGTGGCCAGAAGTGAGCTTCATACTCTGGGTTGTGCTGTCTTGCTGATTCACTGCTTTGCGGCCTCCTCAGACTCCGTGGAGTGAACCACTGCAAGCATTGAACATGCTGCTTTGTTTGAATGGTTTTAGTTTAGCATCCTTTGAACCCATCAGCAGAAAGTTAACCTGAGAAACTCTCTAAGATACTCCCTTTTTAATATATATGTTATTGTGGCTTTAGGTCTTGCTAACAAAGGATGAAAACGTTCCATTCACATTTTATCTTTTTACTGTCACATGCTTAGTAACAATCCAACATTCTCTTGGTATAAGTAAATCCTTGCTCTAATGCCTATCAGGAAAATTGCTTCAGACCATTATAATAACTGTTTTAGGCACGTGTATGTATATTTATATGAGTGGCTTTTCAAATTATTTGCTGTTTTAAAGCCCACAAGTAAACCCAGGAAATGTTTTCATTAAGTCTTAAATTAGAGTAAGGATATTATAGAATTTGTAAAGATGCAAAGGTACCTGGTCAGAAATGTTTAGACAATCTCTTCTCTTCCTTTTATTTTTTTAATTGCAAAGATGTTCAGAGTTCCTTTGGAAAGTACAAAGACTTGGCGATTAGCTCACCAATGTTCAGAGGAGTCTGGAAACATCTCTCAAGGAAACAGGCCTTTCTGTCTAGGTTGCTGCCATTTTCAGACAGGAGTTAATTGGCAAATTTATTTTTCTTATCTCCTCAGGCACCACCAAGTCTGAAGATCGTGCTGCTTTGCTGAAAAAATTCAATGAACCTGGGTCCCAATATTTCATTTTCTTGTTGAGCACGCGAGCTGGAGGCCTGGGCTTAAATCTGCAAGCAGCTGACACGGTGGTCATCTTTGACAGCGACTGGAATCCTCACCAGGTGGGCCTGTCTGGCTAGGCACTCGGGCCTACCCTGTGGAGAAGACTATCAGTTTCATCATTCACATTTATAGAGCAAGTTTCCAAACAGCTAGGCTGTTTCTCCAAAGGAGAAAGAGCCCAGCCACTTAGTAGGGCTTGTTGTCTTATTTCCTTTGAAGCATAGATATTTTAATATCATACCCATGCCTGTGAAGAGCTCAGATTTGGGGTAGAAAAACTCAGTTTCTGTTAAATTTTAATCAAATCTTCTGGGATTTCCATTGAACAAATTATAGCTAGTGAAAGAGGAATCAAAAATCTTCTGGAGGCTAGGGGTGTAGCTCAGTGGTAGTGTGAGCTTAGCCCATGGGAGATCCTTAGTTCAATGTCTAGCACCAAAAATGTTCCAAAATAATAAGACGAACAGTGACTCACACTTCTTGAACCTGTACTCTGTGCTAGCCTCCTCGAGTGCATTGCTTCTCTCAGTTTTCACAACCACCCTGCCAAGTAGTTAATATTATGAATTGCATCTTTTCAGTCAAGGAATCTGAGTCCTAGGCAGGTTCAGTAACTTGTCAAGGTCAAATAATTAGTATATGATAGTTACCCTTCTGTTTTGTGTGTCTTGTTTAATATCATCATTAAAAAAGACTGAGCATGGTGGCTCACAACTATAATCACAGCTACTTAGGAGGTGGAGATTGGCAGGATAGCAGTTTAAGGCCAGCGTGGACAAAAAGTTAGTGAGATCCCCATCTCAACAAATAAGCTGGGAGTAGCCTATGATCCCAGTTATAAGGGAGGCCATAGATAGAAGGATTGCAACCTGAGTCTGGCCAAGGCAAAAACATGAGACCCTATCTGAGATAATAACTAAAGCAGAAAAGGGTTGGGGGTATAGCTTGAGTAGTAGAGTGCTGCCTGGCACAAGGCCCCAAGTTCAAATCCCAGTACCTCCACCAAAAAAAAAAAAAATCCTATTAAGGATCTATTATTATAAGTTCTTTTTACTGGATAAGTTTAGAGTTATCCTATTAAAAGGAATATTTTGGTGACTTAAAAAAAGGATGAATGGTTTCCTTATGACACAGGTTTCCTAACCAAACGTGGGAGGTGAGACACCTGTCTATAAGATACTGTATAGAATTATATTCTTCAGGAGTTGATTCATAAATCGAACAAAATCCAGCTCTCACACATGAATGAGAATTCTACATCCATGAGCCAGACTTTCTTTAGCAATAACACTGGTTGTCTTACTGAGCTGTTGGGAAAGTTGAGTGGAAAAAGGCTCACAGAAGATGTTTTTGGCAGGAAGCCAAGTTTAGAGGGGCATTAGAATTATACAAACACTTTTAAAACATGCCTGCTTCCTGTTCCCTACAACCCCACCGCCAGGTCTCTTATTTATTGGGTCTGGCTTCCTTTGAACACTGCATGAAGGGTCTGATGAGTTTCTTGCACACCTCTGAGTGAACACTGTACATGCTGCCCACTCACTCTATAGGTGAAAAGTTTAAAGTAGAACTCCTATTGAAATGTTCTGACCTTAACAAGGGTGGGGAGCCAGCCACCAGCACAGAATCTATGAGTTCCAAGTCTTCAGGAAATATTCGTTATGGATTTTTTTCCATATATATTTTGATATCCCAGGTTGGATTCCAAGGGTCAGGCAGAATTCACATTCACGTGAGAGATCTTTGCATTCAGTGTTTGTCCTGCAGGTGTGTATGGAGTGTGTAGAGTGTCTTTTGTAGACAGCAGGCTTTGAGCTGGACTAAGCATCTAGGGAGAGAGAACGTGATTCTTCTGCTCCTGGCGGCTCAGTGTGGTTGGACATTTAGGTTACTCCTCTTGCTGATGGTGCCTAAGCCTTTGTTGGTAACTATAGATACATAGAGAGTTTGCTGTAGTTGATCTTCTGAGCTGTACATTTTTACCAAGGCTCAGATGTCATCCTCACTGGCTCAGTGCAAATTTTAAGAGCCAAAAATAACACTGACTCGGGACATCTATGCTTCTCTCTCTGTCCCTGTCTCCCACCTTCTTCCTGTCTATTACAAACTTTGGGGGCACAACTTTTAATCACCAGTGGCTAACAGGAGACCTCAAGCATCAAACTAAAATTTTATGAGGGCCTGAACAGTTCCCTCCTAACTACATGTGATCGAGAGTTTTGGCAAGAAAACACGGGACCCCAACCTTCCTCTGACCTAATTGACCACAACTTCCTCACACTGGGTCATGCACCTCTGCAAGTTTTACTTCTGCCCTTGGTTGATTCATTGGCACCGGATTCGATAAACTGGGCTGATCAGATTTTTCCTGTCTGTCATTCAAATATGACCATCAGGTTGGGAAAACTTTAATCATTTTCAAAACTCAGTGATCTTGGAGTGACATGAGTGAGTAATATTGTGTTTTCATTCAAAATGTAAGGGAACTAGATTTAATTAAGCAACAACTCTGCCAGAGCTGCTAGGCACATCGGATACCTTCTTTCACATAATCCTCACAATATTTTGCACCTAAGGACACCAGTCGGTGATTAGCTTGCTTGGAAACACACAGCTGGATTCAAGCCCATGTCTGTCCTGGTCTTGGTTTGAATCCTGTGTTTGACCTCCTCCCACTCAGCATCTATGTTTATATATAATAAATAGCCTCAAAATGAAAGCTGTGGAGCTCTTTTTACCACATTGGGTTCAGCATGGATGAAGAAAATTTTTAAGTATTCTCTATAACATTGAATCAAAAGTAAGCAGATAAAGGAAATGGTGGTGGGGGGGTATTTGACAGATTGAAGAAGGAAAAGCCTTCGAGCTGCTTACTGAAGACTTACCTAGAAGTAAACTAGAACTCAAGAATGTGGAATTAGCAGTAAAATCCCCCAGAGTTACCAAGACTCCCCTTTTCCAACTGTTGATGGAAAGCATGAGTTAGTACTTGGTGCATTTAACCCGGTTGGAACTGTGTGGCTATTGCAGAAAGGTCAGCCACAAAGTCTCAGAGGCCCTCTTCTTCACTGCGCTCTTGAGTTCTGGTGTCCTCACACTAAATTAGGGTGATGAAGTTTCAGAGCAGTGATTAAGGCCTCAGCAATATTGAGTCATCTATTCAGTGATTACAGCACTTCTTTGTCACAATATTCTCCCCCCCACCTCTCTCTCCTTTGGCCTAGGGACTCACAGGCTCTCATTCCATAAACTTCTCCAGCCCAGCAATGTTAATTTTGCTACTTTCCAAATAGGCAGGTGATCTATACCACTCCCACCGCCACCAAAGTTATTCGCAACGGCTCCCAAGGATCAAGAACTTTTTCCTATTTGTGTAGTGCCCTTGTCCTCTAGTTCCTACCTGATCACCCACTAGTCTCCTGCATTTTAGTATTGTAGCTTTACCAGCATCTTTCAGGACAGAGGTCTACAAACTACAACTCATGGGCCAAGCCTGGCCTACCACTTGTTTTTGTACAATTGAAAGTAGAGAATGGTTTTCACATTTTTAGGTATAAATACAAAACGAGAGGGAGGAGATACTTTTGGAGGGAACAGTTGCTCCATTTTTGCTAATGACCCAGAGAGCCTAGAATCTTTTGTATTGGGCCCATTACAGAAACAGTTTGCTGCTCCCATTCTAGGGATAATGGAAAGGTTGATGATACAGAACTGCCACTTAGATGTCCTGGTAAAGATGTGTTGTTGTTAGAAATGATAAGAGCTCAACAAGGAAGTTTAGGTTCTTTTCCCTCTCCTTGGATTTTACTTACTTACTTCACATTCTCTTTAGAAAGTAATCCATTTTGGATGGGTCCCAGCTGTGCCCATGGTACAGCACTGTAACATTTATATAAACTTATTCAAATGTATTCTGGGAAATATTTCTGCCTAATTAGTCATTTAATTTCAAAGGACCCTGCATCAAAAAACAAATTTCCCGGACACACATTTGTCCACTATCTCCTTCTGTTCCTTGGGTGGCCAGAACACTCACCCAGGATGGGCTTACAGCTACGAGCTTCAGCTCTTTTAAAGACTTGTGCTAGGAATGTAGGAAAGAGGAAACAGACCTTTGCCATAAAAACATATAGACTCCGATGTGAGAGTCATCTGTAAACAACTAATTAACATTGGCCCAGAGACCATCACCTGAGCCACAGTGAATGAAAGTGTCAGACCGAGGCATTTTTATTGAGTAGCTATAAAATTAGATAACTCTGCTTCATAGGTTTATGAAAGTTTCTATATAAATATTTCATTAAGGCCTTTTTCTTATTAAAAGACTTAACGTTTAAAGTAGAAAAATAGTTAAACATCTATAATCTTATCACCTAGAGATATAAACATTGATGGCATGTTGTACTTTTCCTTCCTGCCTTTTTCTTGTGTAGACAAATTTGCATGTGTAAGGGCATAATGTACATGCTCATTTATAACGTGCAGTTTTCACTTACAGCTTTGCATCACTAAATCTTCTACAATACAATTTTATGCTACCATGTAGGTACCTGCACACAATGGAATATTATAACTGATTTAGCCAACCTGTGGTTATTGTAGGTTTACTTCTACTTTCTAGAAAATAATAAATAGTGAGTAGTGCTAGAAAGGTGCATTCTTATTTATAAATGTTTATTAATAGCCATGATTATTTCTTTAGAATAAATTTTCAGAAGTGAAACTGCTGAATCAGAGCCATACCCAATTTTAACATTTAGGTATATTGTACCAAATGTCTATCCCCCTAATTCACCAGTTTACCACCCCACTAATGACCCTTTTCATTTTCCAAATTAAAGATTGAATCTTTAATGGGGTTAGGTCCAGGAAGTTGGCTAGCTGAAAAATCATTATATATATAAAATGTATGTATGAATGTATGTGTGTATGTAGAATGCATGAATGTACAATGTAGTGATGTTATGAGATCATCATTTACACATCACACCAAAGGGAAGTTTTTTTTTGTAACCTAAAAGTAGTTGTAGGTACTATCTAAATGTATTGGGTTTTGTTTTAGCTTGGAACTAATTCTGGTGGTAAACCTACAGACAGTTAAAAATGTTTTGAAAGCTGAATTTCAAACCCTGACATCTTATTCCAATTGACTTGGTTAATTTAAGCCCAAGCTTTCTCAACAAGGAATGATCTTGAGTTTTTCCAAAGAAAATAGATTTCGCATTTTCAAAATGTAAGCAAAATCTTACCTGAATAAAGGCTTATTAAAGAGCCCTTCCATATTCCCCTCTTGGGTAGGAATTTCTTTTCTAGGCTAATCCAGGCACCTTGGTCCTCACAGCATTTTGTCTTCACAAACAGGATCTGCAGGCACAAGACCGGGCTCACCGCATCGGTCAACAGAATGAGGTCCGGGTTCTGAGACTCTGCACCGTGAACAGTGTGGAAGAAAAGATTCTTGCAGCAGCAAAATACAAGCTGAACGTGGATCAGAAAGTTATCCAGGCCGGCATGTTTGATCAGAAGTCTTCAAGCCATGAGCGGAGGGCATTCCTGCAGGCCATATTGGAGCATGAAGAGGAAAATGAGGTATTACAGAAAGCCAAGTTTGTTTCTGAAAGATTAACAGTAACCCCTTTGTTCTTTAAAGAATGTCCCGGGCCAGTGTTAATTAAAATGAATAAATTCGCTCCCATCTCATATCCCAAGCACAGGAAACCTCTGAAAGTTATCCAAATGAGTGTCTTAAAAGCTGTTGCCCTCAAGGCTTGGCCTGTGGATACTTTCCTCACTTCCAGGAAGGTACCTGAGCATGCTTTATTGTATTGTAAATGCTGCCTCCTGTAGGGCAGATGCGTAACTGCAGGCAGGATACTTGGCAGAGGCAAAAATCAGCCAGGTAAGTCTAGACAAACTTGAAGCGGTCCCATCTGTCCTTTCCTTCTTTCCATAGTCCAGAGCCCTCTGTCATTGTTCCCTTTTGATAAGGGATAACAGAACTTCAATATGTTTATAGGACAAAACTTCACAACTGTATTTGGCTCATTTAGCTATACATGAACTTGGAAACTGTGATCTTAGCTTCCAGTTAAAATTTTTCCTTAAGAGCTGAGCAAAGGCACAGAAAAACACCAATTTAAAAGTCTGCCTTGCCAGGAACATTGGCTTGCACCTGTAATCCTAGCTATTCAGGAGGTAGAGATTGGAGGACCGTAGTTTGAGGCCAGCCTAAGCAAAAACGTTAGTGAGACCCCCCAGTCTCAAGAAAAAAGCTGGATATGGTGGTCTGTAGCTGTCACTGCAGCTACATGTGAGGAATAAGAGGCTTATGGTCTGGCCTGGCTGGGCAAAAAACTGCAAGAGTCTATCTGAAAAACAGTTAAAGCAAAAAGGGCTGGGGGCGTAGCTCAAGTGGTAGAGCACCTGCCTAGCAAGCTCATGACACAGAGTTCAAACCCCAGTACTGAAAAGTCTTTATTTGCCAAGATTGTAGAAAGAATGTATTGCTTTTTTTTTCTCTTAGAAGATCTTTGGGTTGTCATTGTATCTTTTTTTAGATGTTCAGTTTTAGTCACTTTATACTGAATATTCATTTTAGGACTAGGGACATAGCTCAGTGGTGTAGCACTTGCCTAGAAGGCATGAGGCCCTAGTACACACACACACACACACACACACACACACACACAATTATTCTCAAATGAATTTGATGTTGGTTTAAAAAGGTATTTATAAGGCCTAGAAAACTATATAAAATACCAGCACTAGTCCTTAACATAAAATTGGCAAGGCATGGACAAGTTTGCTTTTTGTAGGCCCACACCTACAAATTGAAGCATAAATTTATCTTATATATTCACAGGCAATACCATTTTCATTGCATATATTAGTTTGATTTTACCTTAAGTAGGATATGTGTTTTTAAAGTCTTCTGTAAATTAAAAACCAAATTCTTTTAAAAAGTCTTTTTGTTTCTGAAATGAATCTATGTGTGAAGTAGAGCTTGATATTTAAAGGAATCCTGAAATGAATCCTTTCACAAACTGAGGAGTACTTTGGCATTATGCCTCCTGATTTATCAGTCTTATATATTTAATTAGTTATCCATTGAGTTTCCTGAAAGTGATGAAAAATAACATGTACACACACTCACACATGACGCACATTTAAAGATCGTTATCTCGAATAACTCACCATTTCTGATTCTTGAAAGTGAATACTTGATAGGGACTTAGAGTCAGGTGTTTTTTGTTATTTATTTACATGTTTGGCCATTTCAAAAGAACACGATAGTAAGTGACGACGTACACTGTCAGGAAGCTAATGTGGGCAGAGCGGGTAATTCATTTAGGAGTCTCCATGGCATTTTTTGCTGGCCTGGGTTAAAAGGCATGTGAGACAGCCTGGAGAGTCCAGCCTTCCTAAGCCACAGGAAGGTGCTGTCTTCCCTGGGCCTGAGGATCCCCCAGGTGGGGCCTGCAGGGTTTTATCCTTTGCTAACTGCTTCTCGCTGTGAGGAGCCCTGCTGGGACTCCACAGTCCTTCCAGACCATGAGTGTGTCAGACAAATGTCACCACATGCTGGGTGCCTGTGTCCTAATGTAAAGTTGACTGGGGACCCTGTAGTCAAAGGCACAGGTCCTGGGATTCAAGGAGGCACAGACTGCTATCACCACAGCTGATGCACCATGGGGTATGAGGGCACAGAGAGCTCAGGAAGATTTACTGCAAACTTCCGCGCCATTTAGTGCTCCAAGGACTCAAGTCCCCCGGGGGCAGATTTCTCACTAGTTTACAGGAGACTCTTTACACACTGGGCATGGGGTGTCTAAGGCCTTATCGTTTGGTGGCGAGAGGGTAACATGGTTCAAAAAAGAACATAGGCAAGGGAGGAGGCACTAGCCAGATAGTTGGTCCAGTGAGGTCTAAGCCCGCTCTCCAGCTAGTCTGAGTCTTTGTCGGATGAAATGTAATATTTAGACAAATTGACTTTAATCAAGCTGGAGGTGAGCTAAAATGGAAGGTTTTGCAGCAGTAATTATTATCTTGAGTCATCGGTTTTCTGCTTTACTGAATTGCATTCATGTCTAACACTTATTAAGTCCCTACAGTGCGTAAGATGTTCTCTTGGGAGCTGACATCGTCATCTCCTTTAGGCTTCTAGTGCACTTGTATTCTTTTTGTAAAACAGTTGCCTCATTTGAACATAGTGATTTGTATAATTGGATGTTTGAAGTTCTGTGTTTTCCTCTTTCTTCCCTCTGCTGATACACTGAAATTCCCCATTTGATTTTTAACAAGCCCACTCAGCATATGATAAAAATAATTTTGGAAAATAAGTCCTGGAGTATGTGCCCAATTTTTAAAATCATCTTTTTTAAAGTCTGGGAGTCATACCATAACATTTTTGAAAACCTTGCGAACTCAGTTTCTGAGAAATTAGTAGAAAGATAATGTGCCTTTGTTTAACAGAATGTAAAATGAAATTTTTAGCCCTTACGTAATTGCTTTCTTTGCTTCAATGAAATTATTTTAATTAAGTAGTTTTGAGGAATTTTCTTATTGATAGTTTTTGACTTGTCCTAACCACAGTTCTATTAGCAATAATTGTGTCCACTGAAATACACTGATTTAAACATATCTTGAAAGTTATATATTTGGCTCATACATATGGCTTTTTTTGGTCTTGCTCTGTGCTCAGTTCTAGTTTCACATACTCGTGTTTTTTTGTAAACCTTGGAAAATAATCAGTTATATTTAGGATAAGGTCAGTGGAATTAAAAGAATTAATGTTAAGTACTTTTTTATGTAGATTTCCTTAAGTCTTACATCCTGCTGTGAAGTAGCTGTCACGCCCATGTTACAGATGAGGTCATTGAGGAGGAGAGACATTAAGTAACTTGTTTTAGAAGTAACAGAATTAAGATACACACCCAGGAGAACCAGTATTTCTTAGAATGCACCACATTTCCTCCCCTGACAGATTTTGCTGTGGGAAGATGATTTGAATAGCTTGCAAAATACGAATGGCAAGTACTAAACCAAGGGACCCTTGTCTTTTCTTTCTGTCTTGAGAAACTGAACTCCTCGTGTCTGGAGGAGAGATTCCTCTTACTGGTTTGTACCTCACCCCGGCTGTCTAGTCTCTCTCCTAAAGCCGTTCAATCGTTCTGTTTCTAACTCCAGGAAGAAGATGAAGTACCAGACGATGAGACTCTGAACCAAATGATTGCTCGACGAGAAGAAGAATTTGACCTTTTTATGGTAATGTTGCGGACAGTCATGGAAACCACTGTCTTCCCCCCTCAGCTCCTTTCTCTGTTAACCAAGATGCCTGGAGCCTGTGTGCCCTGGTAGAATGTCATTTGTGAAGCCTGTGCCTTTCCTTAGGTTCAGAGTCTGCAAACTGGCTAGATTTAGCCTGCAGACATATTTTGTTTGGCCCACGCAGCGTTTTTTAAAATTTCATGTTTGTTGCCAGCATGAAAAGAATCCTGATTTTTGGCTTCTCTTGAAAAATGAGAATCAGGCCGAGAGCTCCGTGTGGAAACAGTTGGCCAGAGCTGAGTAGCATATCCACCCTCTGGACAGGCCATGTGGTCCACAGCTTACCATGGACCCCCCCACACACACACACTCTAGATCATTTCTAATCCTAGACCAGCACTGTTCAGGAAACCTGCCTGGCTCCTGTAGCATTTGAGTTTACAGCTGGACTCTAGCTGGCTCCTTCTGGGATCAGAGCAAATCTACTCCCTTTAGGGGCAGGTGAGCAACAACTAAATCAATGCAGGTAGGCCCCTTGTAATTGTTGCAGAGAGCCTACCTAGGCAGATGGGAACCTCTGAGGTGTGCATAAAGGAAGGAATAGTCTTTATTCAGAAAACCTGCTGCATTTCAGTGGTACGAAGGGGTGTAAAAGAACCTTGGCATTTGAGAGTTTAGTGTCCACTGTTTCAACCTTGAAGTTCTATAATACATAGCATCTGTAATTTTACTGAAATGCGAATTTGATTTTTGTGTGAGGCCTGCTACAAGCCAGGGATTAAGCCCCTTGGCTGCTGGTGAAGGGAGGCTGTGCAGTGGCTCCCAGAGTGGTTTTACTGCCTTCTTCAGGCTTTTGCTGGAACTATTCAGTTTACTCTGTATTTTCAAGACAGTTCTAGGCCCTTACCGGTGCCTCAATAGGTGACTCAATGGTGATTTTTGTAGGCTTTGTCAGGATGGCACGATGGATCAGAATTTATAACGTTAAGAGGTTCCCTCCAATACCTGCAGTCATTTTAACCTTCATCACAGACATTAGCCTGATTTGTGGAGGGAATAAATTAGTATAAACCATAGCTTTGGTATTTGGATGCTGCAGAACCCTGAAATCAGAGGTCCCAAATTGAAAAGCCTTTAGGTCTCAGATAAAATTTTTTTTTTGCAGGAACAAAGCAAGTGGATAGGGTAGGTATATTAGAGATGCTGTGTCTGAGGGTGGAGCTATAAGGTAGGAATGTACTTGTATAGTCAGAACTTACAGATTGTCAAGAGAAGCTAGAAATCTTCATTTTTATATGTAATTTCCGGATTTCAGAAGGTTTGCAATCAAATGCAGGATTTTATTATTATTATTGTTACAGAACACTGCTGGCCAAACAAAACACAACTGTGGGCCAGATATGACCCAGAGGGTTTGCAATCTTTGCCTTTTTAGCCTAGACAGTCTTTGAGAACAGAGCCCTAGCTGTGTGGATGCTTATGTTATTTTTGTGGGGTTTTTTTTTTATGATTTTTGTCTAGGGAACACTGATTATGTCCTCACGTAATGATTCACTATAAAAGACTATTAACTCTTTCTCAGGAAAGTGCAGGTAGCCATAGCAATAACTCCTAAACTCCTAACCTAGGATATGTACTACCTCTCTCTACCCTCCCCCCGAAATGAGCCACCCTACCTAGGTGAAGTCATTTTGGAAAGGGCAATAAGAATTAACATTCTACACAGGGTGTTCCTAAAACCTAAATTCCTTAACTCCTACTGTCAGTCATCACATTTCTAGATTTATTCTCTGTTTAGGGGGGACTAGGGGTACACATCGGAAGTAGACATCCCCCCATCCTTGAGGAACTCATTAAAATGTACATGACTGGGACATGTACCTAGGCAGGAGACCACCAGCTTCCCTGGGCTGATCACAGATTGGCAATATTCAGCACCAGGATGGCCTCAGATGCTCTCAAGACCCTGGAGAAGACAAGCTACTGGCCATTAGACAAATTAGATTAGGCCGAGGGATGGATTGCTCAGAGCAGCCCTGAAATCAGGGAAAAGAAATACTTCTGCTTCCTTGCTTTTGGGCTGTGTATTTGTAGAAACTGAAAACCTTAGGAAAAATGTGAATGTCTGCCCAAGGCAGACATTCAGAGAACAGGCTTGGAACAGGTGAGCCTTGTTAGGTCACACATTTTTGTAGGCACTTCAATTTTCTGAATTTTCATGCCTATTTCTTAAAGGTTGGCTTCTATTTGGGGTAGTTATACAGATTTCTGTTTGATTTGGTTTGTTTTTTTTTAAAAGCCTTCTAATCCTCAGGCTGACTTTTGGCCAATTCACTATTCGTTAGCACTTCCACCAGGGGGCAGGAAATAAAATTATTTGAATTCATGCCAGCTGCTCTGATTAAAAAGTTTAGTGAGAAACAAAAATGGAATGTGAGCTAGACTAAGTCTCTGGGTTTCAAATATTTAAACTTTATTATAAAAGAATTCTTTCTGTGTATATAATTAATGCAAACTTACTAGTTGGTTTTATAACAACAGACACTGTAAACAACATATAAGTAGATAATTTCTTTAAAATCTTTTCTTGAACTTCGTGGTGCTTTATCCTTCTAAAAATGTGACTTGAAAAAAGTTACCTTCTCTACCTAAAAAAGTTTCTTTGACAGCCCAAGATACATGCCTGTAACATTTTGCTAACATATAAGTGCTAAGCTTTTAAATGCTGTGCTCTCTACAAAGGAAAGAAACACTTTTAAAATAGCTGCAGGTCAAAGGTTTATAATAAGGTCTTAAGACAAATGTACTCACGTAGTCAGTAACTAAATATAAGAAGTTTTTTCTTGACTTAAGATTTTGCACTGGTTTTCTGCAAGTGAAACTGGAGAGAGATGAAGTACACCTGCATTTCTTAAAAGAAAAAAATGTACATAACTGATGTTTTATCAAAAAAAAGTATTTTCTCATTTGTGGGCCTATGCATTTTACAGGGTCTGGTACAGGTAATAGTAGCAGAATAACCAAAAACTGAAGTGGCACTGACAGTATTTTGCTGCATCAGTGTAGGACAATAGTTAAAAAAAAATTCTTATTTAATAACTTTAGGAGGTTGCCTCATACAGCCTCTCCTTAGAGCCTGCTGTAAATAAGGCATCCTCTGTGTGCTGATTATGAAGTTTCGGTGTATCCCATTTCTGATACCAAAGCATTAGACGACGGGATTAAGCAGAGCATTGCGAGCTAAGTATAGCGTATGACAGAGCAGGATGGCCACATTTATCTACCAATGGGACTTTGCCTTGCCCCAAGCCTACCTCATTCTGGAAATATAATGATTTCCAAAAATGATGAAGCGTGGTTTAAAGAGCTGTGATCTTTAATTTAGAAGTAGGTGACAGAGGTCAATATTTGGGTTTTATCCATTTTCTTAGTTTTAGCTTGTAAGAAAAAAATTACATTGAATCCCTGTTTCAGTACGGTAGTACGGAAGGAAGAGGGAACAGGTAAATAACTTGATTAATGGTCTATTCGCTTGTAGAAGTGATATATCTAGCTAGTGATATATATATATAACTAATAGATATAGAAATTCACTGGTGCTTTTATCTGCTCTTTTTCAATCAAATTGTTTAGCTATAACTTAAAACTGAGTATGCAGCATTTAGCTTATTTACAGCTGAACTGATTTTTAAAAAAAGGTCAGGAGGTGGAGACGTAGGCATTTTGAAGGCTAGGAAAGGAAACCACATCACATACAACTTGGCCAGTGAGAGGAGATTACTTCAGAGCTCTGTCTCCCCATGGTGTAATATTGTCAAAAGAGCTAAACTCTTAAAAAGTAAATAATTGAGGGGCATTTCTCCCACTGTGCCCATAGTGTGTTGAAAATTCATAGCATACATGACAACTGACTAATCAAACCACCTGTGTCCCCTGCATGTGACTATTCTGTTGTGATGCCTTGAGTCACTATTTTTGACACTCCTCCCCCCAACTATTTAACTAAAAGCACAAGTCCTCTTGAATAAAAGGAAATGTTCTTAATGAATTTTCTCTTTTATATGCTCAAAGATTTCATTTCTTCCAGGGAAGCAACAAATTGTACCATCAGGGCTCATTTTTTCTAAATGTATCCCCACCTTGAATTTTCTCACTATTACTTAAAGGGAAGCTTTGCACACACATCAACTAAGCAGAGGGATTCTTAAAGAGTATTTTTAAATGCAAAAATAAATTCTTAAAATGGATATAGCAGAAGGAAAGGGATTTTACATTGTGAAATCTTAAAGACCTGTACTTTAGGGATGAGCTGGAAGCCAACTAGCTCAAAGGCCAAGAGGGACCCTTCAGCAGTCTAAGACAACTTGTGCACATTGTAGCATCTGTAAGTTCTGTATCACTTGACAGAACCCCCTTCCCTCTGCTGACACTTTTATTCCTATCTCCAGCGTATGGACATGGACAGGCGGAGGGAAGATGCCCGAAATCCAAAGCGTAAACCTCGCTTAATGGAGGAAGATGAGTTGCCCTCCTGGATTATTAAGGATGATGCTGAAGTGGAAAGGCTCACATGTGAAGAGGAAGAGGAGAAAATATTTGGTAGGGGGTCTCGCCAGCGCCGTGATGTGGATTATAGCGATGCCCTGACAGAGAAGCAATGGCTCAGGGTAGGTATGCATTTTTTAACCTAACCTTGATGTTTGGAGTGTTTTCTGGTGTCTTGAGGTCAGGAGTCTAGAGCTGGAATTCTGGGCAGGTCGAGTTGCTGTAACAAGGAAAGGGCTCTTGAACCTAGAAGATTGAGTCATTCTACTGGTGCAGTGGAGTCCTTGTACATTGCTTGGAAAAACTATAATGAAGCATTTTTTGCTAGGGCAGAATTGGCCATTGTAAGCACAGGATTATAAGAGCTGTGAGACCCACTCACATTTTATGACCAATTGTCTGGTCATGCCTCACTCTCTCAAACTGAGAATAAAAATGGAGAAGGGGGCCTTAGAGATCTTTTTTAATTGTTCCCTGTCATTTCACGACCTTTAATTGAGGTTTTACTTCTACAAGGCCTGCAGAGATAGTTCAAGGTCGATGTTTTCTAGCTGCATTTTTTTGAAGACCCGTAGCATATTTAGATCTGGAAGGTGCCTTTGCACTCTTTTGATTTGATGTAGTAATTGAAGCCCAGAAAGATCAAGTGACTAGTCAGGACACACAGCTGGACAAAAATAACAGAATCAGTAAGTACTGATGTGTTGGTGTGCTTGGTTTTGTTTTGGTTTGAGTTGTCCATTACAAACACAGAGTAGAGCCTGGGACCTAGGTCACTTGTGACTGGAAATACTGTCCTACTGTGTGTGTGTGTGTGTGTGTGTGTGTGTGTGTGTGTGTGTTCTGTTTGCAAAATGATGTTTTGCAGAATGATGATTTGTCATTTTGACTGGGGAGTGAAATCTCACAGTGTTTTTTGGGGATCCCAAAAATACTAAAATACTCATGTAAGCGTGATAGTGGAGGCCAACGTGATTCTTTCACCAAAGCTCTGGCTCTACTTTACATTAATGGGGAACAGACTCAGTACCTTGACAGGCAGAGCAACCTGGGATGTACATTCCAGACAGGGCCAGTAAAGAAGTGCTACAAATAGTAAGTGCAGTTGTATAAAAACCAAAGAAACAGAAGCTGTTGTTGGGAGTCGTTCATTCATTTTCTTAAAAGGGGATACAATTTTCAAGCTTTATGAGACAAGGGTTTTAAGCCCAGGCCATAAGTAGGTAGGTGGGTAGAAAGGCAATGGGAGGATTTTGAGATTGGATATCAGAGGCAGATGGGGCGAGGTGCCACTTGAGATGTGATTCACTCAGGGTGTTGTATGATGAGAGGGATGTGACCTGAATTTCGAAAAGATTGAAGTCTGCGGGATTCTGAAAAGAGAGACTAACAAAGCATCGCTCATATTTATGGTTGAACAATTGCATAGAAAATGTAACTGTGTGTGATTGTTTCCATGTCATAGTCAAAGATTTCAGTGGCCTGAGAATATGGTTCTATGAATTTCCTTTGTTTCACTATTAAGGCTGTGTTTTTTAATAATTAAGATTTATTCTATAATATATTAGGAGTTTTTGTTTGTTTAATATTCATTTCTGAGCTTGGGAAAATTCTCTTCCCTTTCTCTTTTATTTAAGCAATAAATTAAGTACCTGGAGTGTTATTACAGGAGATGAAACAACCATAATCTAGGCCAACATTTTTAAATCATTTTTGAAACAAATAATCTCCAGACATTACAAGCAAAACAACCCTGTTTATTGAGCAAGAACGTAACTGAATTTACCTTTTGTTGTTAAGAAAAATAACATCATGGATCTGAGGAAATTTTCTTTTCACCCAGTTTGTACCACAGAGGATTAGCACAGTGCCCAGCACATAATAGAGACTCAATGAATGCTTGTAGAAATGAAAGTATAATCTTGGGAAAGTGGAAGTCTCTAACTTACCAACAATGTTAGGATACTGTTTCTTGCTGTGTGTGTGTGTGTGTGTGTGTGTGTGTGTGTGTGTGTGTGTCTGTCTAGTAGACTCCCTCTCTACCTATAGTGGGCACATCCAAAAATGGAAAACTAGTTTGTTCTACAAAACTACCCTGTGGAGGTTGGTGTTTATAATTTAACCCTAAGGTAACTTGCAACATGCCACGTTATCCAAGAAGGCCAAAGCTATTCTCAATACAGCTCTACTGTATCTTTTTATAATCGGATCCTTTCAACACTGTATGTCCATATTTTGTTATGACTTGGCAACTTGCTGTTGAGCAGGCAGGACATGAGATTAATACAAAACACTCCTGGGCCTAAGCACTCAAGCCTTTGTTTCCTGTTCACCCAGCAGTAATTCTGTGTGATATCGACCTATTAAGTTCTTGTTTTAATAAAATGAAATTTAAGGGGTTCTCGTGAGCTTGAATGTGAAGAGTTGTTCTCTACTGCTGATGATTGAACACATTGAGTGAATCCAGCCAACATATCCTTGAAAGGGAAGTTGGCAAGGACTGTCATATTGTAAGAAGTGCTCTCACAGGGCTGAAATCACTCTTCTTTTTCCTGGCAATGTTGTACAAAGCCTGCTTGGCTAAGGCACTGAAGATACATGGAATCCAGAGTTGGAAGACAGCTGGATGGTGCAGCTACCATCCCATCCTTAAATAACACTCTTTGCAGTCCCCATGCCAAGAGGCTGACCAACCCTCAAAGGAAGCACACTACCTTTTTTGTCTGTATAGCTCCTCAGGTTCAAGATCAGTCTGAATATTTGCTTCTTCCTTTCTTTGGACAAAATCCTCTTTCCCTGAAGCTGTTCTTACTGGCTTTGATTCTATTCCCTGGGGAGAACAGAACATTATGTCTTCTGTCTTTAGCATCAGAGTCACACAGATAAAGTGATGGAGGACTCATGTTCAGTCTGGAATGAACTTTCCTACACTTCTGCTTCTATTTTGCTCATCCTTCAAGGCCCAGTTCGGTTGCTTCCTCTTCCCACACTGCTGCGGCAGATAATTGCTGACTGCCTTTTCCACTGCGTTTTCACATTTCTTCGTTTGTCCTGTCACAGCATCATTCTAATTTCCTAGTATTCTTGGACATTATCAACCTGCCTGATTTCCTGACTGGTTGGTGAGCTGGATCTATTCTTGTTAAAATTTGGAATTTCCATGTGTAGATGATAGCCACCCACTGATTGTCACATTGAAATAGCACCAGGTTGACGTGCAAGAGTTTAGATCAGGGTAATGGTCCAGCTGCAACAGATGTACCTACACATGCCCTAACTATGGACATATTAAAAAAAAAACCCAAAACTTAAATTATAGTTTATTTCTCACTCCTAGAAATGCCCATGGTGTGTGTCCCTGGTTGGCAAGGACACTTGTTCTCCTTGGGGGGTCATTCAGGTATTCAGGCTGACAGAGCCTCTGTCAACTTGGTCAGCTCCACCTCATGAGCTGGAAGTAGGGAAAACAACATGGTACAGTGGGTTCCTCTGGCTGTGCTTGAATAGTTAGTCGTCACTTCCACTCTCATTCCATTGGCTAGAACTAGTCACCAGGCCACTCCAGCTCCAAAGGAGGCTAAGAAATGTGTTCTGGTTGTGCACAGAAAGCAAGGTTTCGGTGAACACCCAGCAGTCTCTGCCTCAGCACACCTGGGGTAAATTTAAGTGATCTTGCCACTTTACATGAAAAATATAATTCAACACAAACAGGTTTTATTCCATAGTATGCTAAAAATTCCCATAGTGCCCTTGAGAGAACCTATTTAGTTGAAGGATTTAAAAAGATATTTTTCCTGTATTCATAAGATTGTTTTTAATGAAGAGGATCATAATTTCAAACACAGCTTTTTGAAAGAAAATTTTTTTTTACCATTTCAATTTTTTTTTAATTTATTATTGTGCTGGGTGGGGGGTACATTGTGGCATTTATAAAAGTTCTTAAAATTTATCAAGTATATCATACTTGAATTCACCACCTCAACCATTCTCCTTTATTCCCCCTCTGCATTCCTGGAATACTTTCAACAGGTCTCATTTTTCCATTTTCATACATGTGCACACAGTATTTGTACTATATCCACCCTCCCACACACTTTCCCCACTTCCTTCCCTCCCACTGGTATCAACCCCTCCAGACAGGACCTCTTCAGCCCTCCTGTTCTCCAATTTTGTAAAAGAAAAAAAATGACATTTTTGCTTGAAAGAAAGTATTTTAAGTTCTTTGAAACCACTGTTTCTACTAGAATTTAACTTCATCATTTTTAGGCAGTAAGTTCAACTTTCACTTACCCAGTGGTCTGTTTCCTGGAGGCTCCCATCATATCTTCCTTCCCAAGATGGTGTCTGGATAAAGGTGGAAGCTGGTGTTACAGAAGAGCCTGGAGATAAGCACCTTGGTTCTCTTCCCTCCCTGTGGGTGCCCATGGGACTCAGTGCAGGGCTGCTGACCTGCTGCTGTCCCAGGAGGTCTTGATGTGCAGCTAGTGCCATTGGAGATTTTGAGGATGTGTGCTCTTGAAGTCTGGTGTCCTAGCTACTGTCTCTAGCCAGAACCTGGCCTGTATTCTGGTATCTCGTGAACACTTATGACCTCTTTGTTCTCCCAGTGCTCTCAGCTCCTTTGTGTCCTGTTCAGGAGTCTGCACTCTTGATGCTTCCTGTACACTGTGTTAGACTATGCAGGATGCAGTGCACCCTGCCCCTTCCTAGAATTTGATTACTAGTTACTAGAATCTGATGGCCAGGCACATCCAGGAGCATTTAAAGCAAGTAGTATAAATGTTTCGTGTTTACAAATTTTGTCCCAAGTTTGTGACCAGATGAACACATAGCAAGAGACCCTCCCAGATCTTTGGAAGGAGATTTTGAGAGACCTGAAGCTCTTGGTAAATCCCCCATTTGAGTGTGTTTGGTGTTTCATTCTTATGTTCCTCCCCTACTCCACCTTCCCCAGCACCTCAGTTTTAGACCCTGAAGGGACAGCATTTCCTTTCAACCTCAACAGCAGGGCTGGCACTAACTATTCAGAGTTAGCACAGGACCCTACAAGATGACGGCACAATCCTCAACAAGTAAACAAGATTGCCCTGACTTCTGACTGACTGGCTGTAAGTGCAGGGGT